AACTAATTTTAACTGGGTAGATATTATCATGAACCTACCCTAACCACAGATACAAAGACCAAGGCTCTACGTAAGAGACTTGCTGGATGGGAAGAGAGAGCTACGGCAGTTGGCTGTATGGGGCTGTGAGTCTCTCACCACTGGAGGAAGACAAGGCTGAAGACTAGGCTCATCTTAGGCAGTCTAGTCGTAGGGGTTAACTTTTTGGGGCTAGTGGTCCTCTGATCTTCCCTCCCCAGCTGCAGGATGACCTGGACATGCTGAGTAGGGTGAGAATGCAAGTACCAGCTTACAACAAGGAGTGGCTCGTTGGGTTGGCATTGGCTTCCATAACGAATGGTGGTCAACTCTCATGAGAACGGTGCACAGAAAATAAAAGGACTCTAGGAAGTAGAAATCATGTCAGTTGATTTCGGTAATAAAGAACACTTAACGGGACCAGCAGTTAGTATAATGGCTATGTCGCTGAACTCCCACATAGTCGACCGCGATTCGTGTCCCGGACCCGGTGGCTTAAAACTCACGCCGGGCACGTGTGCGTGCGTGCCTAAGATCCTGAGAGGAGAATGGAGGAGAAGGGATTGTGGCATGGCCATCCCCCCTACGGGGTGATTTCTCGCTTTCTGTCTCTCGGTCTCTCTCTGTCTGTCGGGCGAGTGCATGCACCTTATCGTGAAAACCTCTTAAAAAAATGCTTAAAAGAAAAAACTGGACAAGTATAAGATATGGAATAGCTTGGTGAAGATATTCTGAAATGAGAGGTTTAATTGAAACATGAACTATCGGTGCTTAGAAAGGTCAACCAGGACACGTTCCGATACATCTTGATGCCATACTATAAGTTGGTAGTTAACTGGTAAGCATTGCTTCCAGCTCCGTATCTAAGGACAAAACCATTTGCACTGTGTGGATTATAGATGTCACTGAGGGCAACAGATATGGACTGTACCCCAAGGGGGTGGTGATGAAGATGGGCATGCCCTGAAAACATGGACTTGGAATATGCTTTGGAAACAGGTGCCTTGTCCCCTCAAGAGAAGAGACCAAAAAGACAACAACTGAACTGTCTTGGTAATCACTATGTCACTAACTGACCGTTATTTTCTCCAGTTACTGCTAAGCCATTCACCTCTTACTCTACTACAAGTTTTTTATTAAACTATAAATGCTGGGGTTGGCAGGTAGCATGGTGGTTAAGGGGCTGGACTCCCACATGGCTGCACGTGGTTCGAGTTTCGGACTTGGCAGTTTACTTTCTCACTTTCCCTTTCTCTGTTTCTCTGGTCAAATTAAAAACAACAATGGGAATAAATAAATAATTCTTAAAAAACAAAACTGTAGATGCCGTCTCAGATTCGGAAAAAGCTTATGTCCTTACACGGTTTTAGAAACTTAAATTCATATTTGCTACTTTATAATTGCTTTTATTCTAAATGTACACTCTACTACTGAAAATTATGCTCCTTTATTGGGGGAAAAAAGTGATATGACATTATGACATTTGTTCTAAGTACAAATGAAAAATAAAGAATTCTTGCTATCCTGTTCTACTAGACAAATTTATTCTTTTGGTGATCAAGTCATTCTATAACTTTAAAATAAATTAGTTATTACTCAAAACTTTTAGTTCAACTCTGATGCTTTAGGTGTAATGTTAACAATGAAAGGCATTAGCAAAGGATTGTTTTTTACTCTTTTGCTTTATATACTTTTTTTTTTTAATACGCCAACACTTTTTAAAAAACATTTCCTTCTGGGACCAGCATATGGTGTAATGGTTAAGTCACTAGACTCCCACATAGTCAACTGCAGTTTGGGTCCCAGACCCAGTGGCTTAAACTCACAACAGGTGCGTGTGTGTGTGTGCCCACCATTCCAAGAGGAGATGGAGGAGAAGGGATTGTGGCGTGGCCATCACCCCTGAGGGTGATTTCTTGCTTTCTGTCTTTCTGGTGAGTGCCCATGCCCTATAAGCAACAATCTCTCTTGAAAAAAAAAAAGAAGAAAAAGAAAAAAGGAATGCTATGTATTTTTGTATGTTGATTTTGTACCTGCACATTACTGTATTCATCACTTCCAGTAAAATTTTTTTTCTGATTCATGCATGTCCTATAGCAAAAATCCCTTTCTCAAATTTTTTTCCTTCATTATTTTTCTATGTATTTGTTGTGGTTTCTCAAGTCACCAAGTTTGGGACTCTCATTTCAGAATATCTCTGCTGGGCCATTCCACATCTTATACTTCTCCAATTTTTTCTTTTAAATGTTGTTTATTACTGAAATCATCAATTGACACAATTTCTACTAAATATTTCCTAGAGGCCTTTTAACTTGTGGAGTCCCATACTTGGTGGCCATGTGGGAATCCAGCACCTTAATCACCATGCCACCTGCTGGCTTGCACATATGCCAACTCTTTTTTTTTTTTGCCATTTGGGCCATGTGTTTTCTGGAGAGAAGACAGAAAGAGACAGTGAGAGAGAAAGTAAGAAGTCACCTCCCAGGGAGAATGGTCATGCCACAATACCTTCTTCTTCATTCTCGTCCTGGGATTTTGGGTACACATGCACACATGCCTGGGGGATTTTTAAGCCACCGTGTCAGCCATGTGGGAGTCCAGAACCTTAATCACTATACCACCTGCTGGCCCCCATGCCAACTTTTTTTTTTT